TTTTTTTTTTTTTTTTTGCAGAACCAGGGATTGAACTCAGGCCCTTGCGCTTGCCAGGGAAGTGCTTATTCCACTGAGCCATCTCCCTGGCCCCTCTGCAGGCATCTTGGTTGCCCTCTTGATCAGTTCTGATTCCCTTCAGCTGGATCAACTGCCAACCACACACATCCCAGTAAACCTCTGTCTATGCAAGAGTGTGTGTCCTTGCAATACATGGTGCAGTCTCGCTTCCACTAGACCAGAATATATCTATATGGATTCTATCTGAATGGGTCAATGAGACAGTCACATTCTAACCTATGTGAGTTTACCACTGGCTAATTCCTCTGCCCTCATCACCACCCAACCTTTCCCTGTTTTGAATAAATTAGTTTTAAAGTCACTAGTGCAGACTGGGGAGATGGCTCAGTAGAATAAGCGCTTGCCTGGCAAGTGCAAGGGCCTGAGTTCAATTCCGGGTTTCACAAAAAATAAAAAATAAAATAAAATGAAAATAAAGTCACTAGTGCTATAATTTGACCTGAAGCACAAATTCAGTGACCAAATGGGATTAAATATATTGTAACAGGTTCAATCTCTGTGTTTACAAAAGATTTGCAGGTCAACGTTCACTATTCACTGGCAGCATTGCCAAGAATAGGAATTTTTACAAAGTAGATGTTTAACAGAGGTAAGTGCAGAATGTATCCCTGAAAACATTTAAAGTCTCTGTGACTTTAAAGAAAACAGCTATGTCCCTGATCTGAAACTGACTAAGGGATACAATTCAGTGGCCCTGGGACAAAGATAAAGTGGGACTATATAAGAATAAAGTGGATCAGGATCAATGCTGTTTAGGGTGTCTTAGTGAAAAGAAACATTAGAACCTATATAGCTAAAATACTTTATCCTCGAACAGAGGACAGTTTTTCAGCCTTCATGGCCTTTCAGGACCTCCTAGAACAAGTTGGCGGCCTGGGTAAATTTCAGATTCTTCAGATAGCTATTTGTATGCTCCTTAGTATTATAACAGGTAGTCATATATTGTTGGAGAACTTCACTGGGATCATCCCTGATCATCGCTGCTGGGTCCACATCCTTGACAACGACACTGTCTCCGCCAATAACACTGGTGTCCTCACTCAAGATGCCCTTCTGCGAATCTCCATCCCACTGGACTCAAACCTAAGGCCAGAGAAGTGTCGTCGCTTCATCCACCCACAGTGGCAGCTTCTTCACCTGAACAAGACCTTTGCAAACATGACTGAGCCAGACAGTGAGCCCTGTGTGAATGGCTGGGTGTATGATCAAAGCACCTTCCTCTCCACCATCGTGACTAAGGTACAAGCCTTCACTTTCCAATCATGAATTCTCAATTTAGTGTTTAGAAATTGCACAAACATCAAATGTGCTTTCATCTTTTAATCACTATCTGGGTGCTTACTCATCATTCTTTGAGCAATATTGATTGCTTCTCTGTTAAATGTGAAATATAGTCATATTTTATAGGTGTAATGAATTAAACAAGACCCTTATCTCATAGTGCTTTCATTTTGGGGAAGATCACAACTTAAGAAAGTATTTAGTGGATATTATATAAATGTTATGCCACATCAGTAATACATAACTGGGCTGAGGAGGTAGCTCAGTAGAATAAGCACTTGCTTGGCAAGCACAAGGTCCTGAGTTCAATCCCTGGTACCTCGGAAAGAAAAAAAAACCTCCAAAAACAAAAGTAATATCTAACCTTTATTTCCAATTAGAAATACCTATGAGATTTATGAAAGCTTCACTGCCCAGACAGCACCCCTAGAACAATCATGTGAGATGCTGTGCAGTGATATGCAAGATTTAGTAAATTGCAAAAGGCCCTTACATGGCTGTACTGTGTGCCAAGTTTGAGAACTTCGTAGTCTGAATTTAAAGCTATCACTAATATAAGCTACAGACTTGGGGCATTTTCCTGGACAGAGTTATGTTTAAGTTTAAAATTATGTTTAATTTGAGGTCAGGAAATATTGAAAATAAAAGCAGAAGGGGAAGATAGGGGACTGAAAAAATGACACTTGTAGGCCATGTTAGGAAGAGCTTTTCATTAGTTTTCACTGAGAGATTACAAGACCCTCCACACTGATATTCTTTTCTTCCAGTGGAACCTGGTATGTGAATCTCAGTCACTGAATTCAATGTCTAAATTCCTGTTTATGACTGGAATGTTAGTGGGAAACATTGTATTTGGCTATTTAACAGACAGGTAAGTGTTTCTGGCTTACAGATGTCTCTAGCAGAAGATATTTTCATTGTTTTATGAATCATTCATTATTAAATGTTTGTTTTCAAATTACAATGCTTTGAGGCTACCTTGTCCTCAAAGGCCAACAAATGCAAATGGAAATTTTCAATCAGTATGGTGAATGAAGTTTCAAGTTTCATTTCTGTATTTCAGACTGTCTTTGTTACTTTTCTCATTGCTGAGACAAAACATCAATACCCAAAATTAAAGCAGGAAACATTTATTTGGCTTACAATTTATAGAGTTTTCACTTCATAGTTGGCTTTCTCTAATGCAGAATGCCACACTGCAGAAGGGAATCACAGAGGAGAAACATTGCAAGCAGAAAACAGAAAAGGCAAGCATGGGATGACAGTCCCTTCTACCCTATCCATCTTATCCAGGCTACTTGGGGCAGGAAGCACTCACATCCCTAATCATACTGCCTTTGAGCATACCATCCCACAATGAACCAATCCCAGGATCATGCACTCTAGATCCAGCCACCTCTGAAAAAGCCCCACCTATGATGGCATGAGGCTTTGTAAGGACATATAGACACAAGCCAAAACATCCCACCCCTGGCCTGCACCAAGACTCACACACATTCCTTCATGAAAAAGGCATTTAGTGCATCTTCAAGAGTTGCTCAGGGCCGGGGAGATGGCTCAGTAGAATAAGTGCTTCCCTGGCAAGGGCAAGGGCCTGAGTTCAATCCCCAGTTCTGAAAAAAAAAAAAAAAAAAAAAAAGAGTTGCTAAAGCCCTAACAGTTTCAGCATTGCTGAAAAGTTTAAGTCCAAAGTCTTCTCTGAGATGTAAGGCAAACAGAGATGCAAGTCCCTGTACAAATGAAAAGTTAAACACTTCCAACATGGGGCCTGGGAGATGGCTCAGTGGAATAAGCGCTTCCCTGGCAAGCGTGAGGGCTTGAATTCAATCCCCGGTTCCACAAAAAAAAAAAAAAAAAAAAAAAAAAAAAAAATAAAAAAACACTTCCAGCATGCAATTCCACAAGATAGATATTTCTATTCTAAAAGTTATAAACAGGGAACTAGCAGAGAATGAAAACAAAGTAAGACCAAACTTTAGTAGGGAAAACATTAAATCCTATGGTTAACTTCTAGCATACCTGGCAATCTGTGGCACGTTGGATGACCACTCCTATCACACTGCTGATGGTTGTAGCTTTCAAGGCTCCTCTATTTGGCACATCTGCTTCATACTTGCAGTTTTCCTCAGATAATCCACATTCTTGGATTCTCCAAACTTCTATGTTCTCTACAGCATCTTTGGATTCTCACTCACAGCTTCACATTGGCCCTTCAGAGGCAAAATGGATAGCCATTCCAGGTCTTCTTCTGAAATCTTGGTAGAAGACTTTCTCAGTCCACATCTCTTGCATTCTGAATGCATCTAAAACCAGCACCATGTGGATGATGCAGAAATTTCTGACCAGCTGGAGCAATAGCCAGGCTTCCTTCTCTCTTGGTTGTAGTACTCAGGTGTCTAGATCACTGAGTACTCTGAACTCAATCCTGAGGAACAGATTCCTTAGGCCACCACTGCCTTTCTGTAACATAGTGCTCTGAGGCTTGCTTCTCAAAGCAAATTCTTTCACCTCTGTACCTCTGAGGCTGCAAAGGTTGCAGTTCTGATAGATCTTATGATGTCCTCAGGCCAATTTTTCTGTTGTATTCTTCTGAAATACTTACATTTTTTCCCGATAGATTTTTCAGTCACAAATTTCTCCTCTGTTCTACCTTTACAGGCTATGATTTTACTGGAACTTCCTTCCTATCTGGCCCAATCAAAATGTTTTAAATGATTCTACTGGGTTCTTTGCACTTGATTTTCAACATAAATTTGGCTAAAATCCCCAATAGTAGCCATTCCACTGCCTCAGCATTGGACTGTCTTTAAATTTCATCTGCCAGATAAATAAATCCACTGCCCTTAATCTCAGTCTCATTCAATGTATAGACATGAACAAAATGCTGAGCAACTTTCTGTAAAGCCATAACACATGTCATCCTGAGTCCAACAGACAAAGCAGTCCTGCTTTCCAGCAGAAACATCTTGAGACTGATCTATATTGGTGTCATTTATATCAGCACTCTAGTCTTCTGAGCTCCAACAAGAATCTCCCATCAGTCACAGCCTAAGGCATTCCAACAAGCATCTCCAAACCCTTCCTAACTTTTCCCTTTTGAACAAGCCAGTTGTAAAGGTTCTTGAGCCACTTGGCCAGCTAATGTCGTGGAAAGACCCTACTACTCTGGCACTAAATTCTGTCATAGGTAATCTTCTCATTGCTGAGACAACTGGAAAAGGAGATTTTATTTTTTCATGAGAGTGAACATTGATGTTAGTTTTTCTAGTTCATTTTGATGCTTCTTTTTTTTCTCTCTCTCTCTTTCATTCTTTCTCTCATGTCTTATTCAATTTCCAAAAGCTTGGGTGAAAAAAATTTGTCCTTTACTCTTGCTTGTAATATCTTCCTCTTCATTTATTTCCCTATTTTCCCTTAACCCTCTTAAATTACACACACACACACACTCACACACACATACACAGAGAGTAAAAATCATTCAACTAAGGAGAAATTCATTGTATATAGGTTTCCAGTTTGTGTTGGTTTCTCTTAGAACTATAGATTTTGCTCCTGTACTTAAGGGTACCAAATATTTTTCTTTTTTAAATTAATTTTATTGAGAAACAAATAGCAATGAGACAGTTTCAAAACAGACTAATGGGACAGTTTCAATAATTAATACAATGCATATTGTTGTCTTCGTAATGGTTATTCATAGTACAAGATGCAGACATAATATCCTGTCCAAACACTATTAGTACAAATCTTTCTTCTCATTGAATTAAGAGAAAGTAGCTGTATAGCTATCCTATTTTGTATATACAGATACAAAATGGTCTTTCATTTATATTCCCCCCCTTTTTTAAAAGTTTTGTCAGAGATGGGTATTCCATTGCCATTTAAATATTGTAGGTGTGTAAATTCAGCAAAATAATCCAATATAGTCCAGTAGTCCATAATAGTAGTGGGTTATTCATAGGACTGGCAATGTCAGAAGTTGTTGACTTGAGCCTTTTACAGCTCAGCATATTAATATGGCTTTACTTTTTTTTTTCTTTTCAAAGTTTTATTGATAAACATATAGCAATGAGACAGTTTCAAATCAAATCGAAAGTACAGTTTCAACAAATA